GCGCTCAACTTCATCAACGTGGCGAGCCTTGCACGTGAGAGGCACAGTGGAGGTGGAGTTCAAAGAAGAATGAGAAATTTAATGGTTTCAATCTGCCCTTGCTTTTTCTTTTTCTTTTTGTTTTTATTTTTGCAATGTGCCCGTTTTTTGTTTTTTTCTTTGTTTCGCAAAGTGCGCTCTTTTAGTTTGTACTTTGTAGTTATGTGACAATATATATATCGTGTGCACAAACATGTTTGCTCTTAGTTTTGCTTGTGCTTGTCCTTGTTCTGTGAGGGAGTAGGAGAGAGAAAGTTAGGCTTTGGGTGGCAGGCAGTCTATTACATGGTGGTTTTCCCTTGTGCAGTGAACTACGCGATGCAGTTGAGAAGAGCGGAGTACCCTGAAGTCGATTTGCCAGCAACATGTTACGGAGACGCAGCTGAGCCTGGCCAAGATTTATAAGACGGTGATCTTTCAGGAAGACGAAACCAAGGTGAAGCAGTAGGTTCGATTTGCAAGCAGAGTCTCCACCTGGTACAGCTCCAGCACGAGGTTTGACAGTTGTACTCGTTGCTCGTCCGGCCATGTCGAACTGGTCCCGCTTCTGGTTCCTTAATCCCAGTTCTGAATCTGGCCTCATCTGAAGTTCAGTTCTATTTGTAGTTCCAAGGCAACCTGCAGATGCAGTCTCTGTCCCAGTTCCAGTTCTTCCCTGTGGTTCTACTGCTGGTCACAGGCCCATTTCCAGCTTCAGGTGCAGTTCCCGTTCCGTGTGAAGCTGCTGTTCCAGTTCCAGTTTCAGTTTCAGTTTTCCAGTTCCAGTTTCAGTTTCAGTTCCAATCCAGTTTCAGTTCCAGTTCCAATTCCAGTTTCAGTTTCACTCCGAATTTCGGCCGCATTTGCAGTTCTCATTCTGGCTTCAGTTCTGACCTTGTCTCAGTTGCGTTGCCAGTTCCAATCCTGCGGCGGTTCCTGTTCTGGTTCCAGTTCGAGTTAAGTCTCAAGTCCAGCTTCCGTTCCAATTGTGGTTCCATTTCTGGCTATGCTTGTGGTCCCAATTCTGGCTATGCTTGTGGTCCCATTTCTGGCTATGCTTGTGGTTCCAATTCTGGCTCTGTTTCTGGGGCCATTTCCACTTCCGTTTCTGGTTCCAATCCTGGTTCTCTTTCTGGCTCATTTCTAGGTCTGTTTCTGGTTCCAATTGTGGTTCCAGTTCTAGTTTCAATTGTGTTTCCAGTTCTGAACTTCCATTTCGGTTTTTTTCCAGTGTCAGTTGCTGTTTGGATTCCTCTGCCGATTGCTCTTCCAGTCGCTTTTGCATGGTCATCTCAGAGTTGGAATCCTTTACAGTTCCAGTTGCTGTCTTGGTCCCAAAAATCTACCGCCTTTCCTCGAATGGAATGTACTGTCGTCCATAAAGAGCACCGCAAAAGGCCAAGTCAACAGTTCTTGCAAGAAAGGTAAACGAGACAGCCTAGAAGCTGAGAGGAACAGACGAGATGGAGCCCAAGTGGCCAGGCTTTAAGTGTAGAGTGAATGGATCTCTAGTACAGCAATGAAGGGTAGGAGAGAAATAGTACAGGCTAACTTAGGCAGAGGTAAGGAGCGGTACATCCTTCCGGTTGGAAGTAATCAATGCCGGCCTTGGGCCTCCACACCAGAAGGGGGAGGAGCGTGAGTGTGTTCTGAATGTAATACCGTCTGACTTGCCGGTGGAATAGGAACCGGACTGACGCTCCCCAGAATGGACAAGGAGCCAGGACCTTAAGGACCTGTTTAAAAAAGAAAAAAAAAGAAAAAGAAAAGGGAATGTACCGTCGTTATTGGTGTATCTAGAATGGAAGTTGTCCCAAATACAGCTATAACAACTGTATGTTCTACGTGGGGGAGGACTGTAGTTGCAATCATTTCTCATTACCTTAGCTGGGAATTACGCGTCTGTTTCCTGAGCTCTGTTGAGAGTTCCTCTTCCTGTTCTGGTCCGAGTTTGCCATTACCTAAGCTGGGAACATGTAGTCATCGAGTACCATCTTCTCCCAAATAGAACGTATAGTCATTATCGCTGCATTAAGACTGAAAGTTGTCCTTAATACAGGCATAATGACTGGACGTGGTATTCAGGGAAGAGGGTAATATGTGTCTGGAGTGGACAAGGTTAATAGAGCCAATAGCTGATAGATAGTATACAGAGCAGCATTCTCCGAAAGAGAGAGAGGGGGTAGGGGGGGTGTGGGGGAGGGATTAAAATGTCTATTTTTGGGGGGCTTAAATGGAAGCTCGAACACGTCTTGTCTGTTCTGGCGAATTCTCAGACCTTTACATGATTGGTCACTTTCCTTCTTTGTTCTCAATGATTTATCCTCCCTTACGCCTTGCCTAATTTGTACGAATTCTCAGACCTTTTCTTCTTTCTTTTTCCTATTTTTCACCCTATCCTACCTGTAGCACTCAAGGATTCCAAAAATCTTAAATTCCAAACCAAGTATTAAACTAAACCATGCGGCGGTTAAATTTTTTAGGTTCAAATTTTCAATTCTAGCCATCGTCCTAAGTAAAGGAAGCAGCGGCCACCATGAGATGGTGTCGGGGGGACCATGTACAACAGGTACTGGAGCAGTTCCTGGCCATGGGAAACTGAAACCGCGGATCAGTTTTGGCAGCTCGCAGCTTTTACCCGTGGATCAGTTTCGGCAGCTTGCAGCTTTTGCCTCAATAAACAGGTCACAAGTTTGGGATAGTTCTCTTGTTTTTCCTTTCGAAATTGTTTCTGGGATTTGATGATTGTTCTTTTTTTTTTTTTTCTTTCTTTCTTTCTTTCTTTTTTTTTTTTTTAAACAGAACCTTAGGGTTCCGGCTCCTTTTCCATTCTGGGGGGCATCAGTCCGGTTACTCTTCCATAGGCAAGTCAAAAGAAAATACATATTGGACACACACACACTCTTCCCCTTTAAGGTAGGAAAGCCCGAGGGACGGCATTGATTACTTCTCTCTGGAAGGATGTACCACTCCTCACCCCTGCCTAAGTTAGCCTGTTTTCTTTTATGTTGAGTCTAAGACCTGGTAAGGCACTCAGAGATGTGGACCCTAACAGCTTGCTTCAGGGCGGCCTCATGTAACCCGTTCCTCTCAGTTCTCTGACTGCCAGATTCTCATTGAGCACGGGAACTGTAGACTTGAGCCTCCTGAAAGGGTTTTGATAAGCCCTAAATCCTTTTCGGGAAGAGTTGCAAATGCCGACCGACGAGAAGAAATTCTAACTTCTCATTATTATCCCTCCTCATCTACCAGGTCTACCTGGTTCTAAAACCAAAACTTTGCTAATTTAACTGGCCAGCTAAACTTTACTTGATATCTTTTTATGGTCTGTATCCCATATTGTCGCATACCGTAAAGGTGCAGACCAGAACAAGAACCGACCTCTCTCACATAGTACAAGATAGTGCAGCGGAAGGCTAATATACCAATGATCCGAACAATCAATGTTGCAATGCAGACCAGACATACATCATCATCATTCCATGGTGTGAAGGGGCCTGCCGCTCACACAGGAAGAATGCGCCACTCCCCAACCATACACAGACGAAGAAGAGGGGGGGTAGACGAATAAGAGGGGAAGATGGGAATGTTGTCAACACCAAGCCTTCGGTACAGGTCCCAAATAATCCCTCGTCAAATGCCTGAATCCCAATGTCGAGTCTGGATCCAAATGTCGTCAAGTCCCAAAGTCACCAATCTCTCTCTCTCTCTCTCTCTCGTAGTCTGCAGATACTGAGAAGTCAGGTAGTGCGAGGGTGAGGAGAAGATGGTGGACTTAGAAGAGGAAGAAGAAGGCAGAAGGCAGTGCCTTTAACATCTGGACGTCGGGAGATGTGAGCATGGTACGGTCATACCACGGCTAATGTGCCCGATCCCATCCGAATTCGGAAGCCAAGCGCCGTTGAGCCGGAATAGCACAGGGATGGGAGACTTCCTGGGAAGTCCCGGTGCTGTACTTACCTACAGCCAAAGGCATTGCTTTTGAAGCCCAATCTGTAATCTGTCTRTCGGTGGCCCTGTGTGCCGGGCCCGCAAGT